TGAATAAAAGTATTGATTTCTATCAAAAAAAAAAAGAAAAAGAAAAAGAAAAAAACTTTTGAAAGGTAGTGTATTAATTTCTTTCAAAAAGAAAAAAATCTTACCAACCCCAAACTTTTGAACGGTAGGACCGTATTGGCCCGAATATAAGACAACCCCCCGTTATCCAGATGTACCTTTTGGAAAAAGGCTTTTTAAAAACCAAATCCAAGAAAAAAACATTGTCTTATATTCGGGTCAATACGGTATACGTCCCAATGTAAATGTAAAATATAAAAAGTCCCACAATGCCCATGGGCACAATGTTAAAACAGGAGAGAAACCATCATCAGTATATTAAATCTTCAACCTTCATTCTCCCCTTTCATTTCACCCACATAATTACATACTTTTATTTGAACTAATGAAAAATATATTCTCTGTTGAGAGTCTGATCTATAGCCAGTCTGGTACAGATGACAGTGAAATGGAGAGAATAAGATGAACACTGCATACTTTCTGTATGCAAGAAAAATCACAAATTAGATTTTTGTGAAATATCAGAGAAAATGGAGACTCTAGTTTTAAAAGACTTCAGTAAAAAAGCATCCCCCCTAGTTTCTATTCCTATTTTAATTCCTCTTTTAGGGGAAACCCCTGAGCCAAAGCTGATACTTTCATGAAACATAACTGAGAACTCCATTAACCTCTGAGCAATTACATTTCTCTCTTGCTTGGTTTAAAACTCAGTTTTTAAGACTGTGCTCTTTAACCGGACAGCTGTGTGTGCCCTACAAGCTTAAGGATGTGGCCAGGCTTATACCAAGTACCAACTGCACCCGCTCCAACGGAGGTGGCAAAGAGGAATGCCATTATAATGACAGGGCCAGCTAGGGGCAGTTGCACTTCCTATTTTGAGGAAAAGAAGAGAGAACAAGAGCAGTGGTGCCACTGGACGGCATTTGGCAGATCTGAAGTGGAAATAAACAGACAGTTTTAACAACAGCTGAACTTTAAATCTGCCTAGTCAGGACTTCTGTCAAAAGCTGGTTTGTTTAGTAAAACTGCCCACTACCATTCTTAACATGCATATTATTTTGGTTTCTTAATGTTTTCTTAGCCACCTCAGTTGTGGCTGGAGGATATAAATGCAATTGGCACAGTCATGCCAGTGAAATGGCCTCATTGCGGTAAGACTGAGACAGACAAATAGGGCAATATGACTAAGAAAATGGTAACAAAGGGTCTGAAACAGTCTGAATGCGTTTACAGGCTGGTTTAATGAGGTTTAACTGGTACCTCTGTAGTTCGGAGGGCAGATGCAGGTGTAGTTGTTGATGCCGTCCACACAGGTGGAGTTATTCTCACAGTCGTTGTCTTCACAGTCATCAGGATTCAGCTCACACTGTTGGCCCTCGTACCCAGGCGGACACACACAGCTAGAGGAATGGGAAGGCACAGGACAACGATCGATACTTCAAATGTTACAACAAAAGGAAACGCGTGGGTTTCAGTGATTTAGCTCTGTTGGGTGACACCCTGATACTGCCATACTGATTTGTTTCAGGTCTGCAGCCAGAACAGTGTCATTTGTTGCCATTCATGTCTCATTGTTTGGTCTTTAAATGTCAACCCAACATCCTTCATTAGTGCACTGCTCACAGCCAACAGGAACACTGAGTTCTGGTTTTAACATGTACTGGACACATTACAGGGATAGTTCAGTCACAAATGATAATGTTGGCATGAACACAAAACAAGATATTTATTTATAACACTCTATAAGCCCTTGTTTATTGAGAATATCAGAATTTTGTAAGAAGATCTTCAGTGAGTAAATTTGAACTCACTTTTTTTTTCAAATACACTTTCTTTGAGGAAAAGAACAGACTGAACATTCTGCTAAACATCTAATCCACCAAAATCAAGCAATATGATTACGAGTAGATGAGTCAAAAAGTTTAGTCAAAGCCCATATTTTCAAGGTCTTGGTCCTCGAATATGAGTCTAAGATCATATTTTGATGGTCCACAACTACATTTTCATGGTCTTGGTCCTTGAGTCTGAGTTCAAAAGCATATTGTCATTGTATTGGTCTTCTCTTGTTGGGAGCATGAAGACACTGTCTTGACTCAGACTCGACTATTTTCTGGCCTCGGTCCTAAATTAGACTCAACCCTCTTCTGGTCTCCATTTTGACTCAGACTTGACCCTCTTCTGGTCTTCGTCTTGAATCAGACTCAACCCTCTTTTGATCTTGGTTTTGACTCAGACATGATTTCTTCTGGTCTCAGTCTTGACTCAGACTCGACCCTTATCTGGTCTCTACTTTAAATCAGACTCAGCCCACTTCTGGAATCGGTCTTGACTCAGACCCGACTCTCTTCTAATCTCAGTCTTAACCTGAACCTGATGCTCTTCCGGTCTCAGTCTTGACTCAGACTCAATGTCTTCTGGGCTTGGTTTTGACCTCAGACTCGACCCTCTTCTGATCTCAGTCTTGACTCAGACTCGAATCTCTTCTGATCTCAGTCTTGACTCAAACTTGATCCTCTTCTGGTCTCAGTCTTGACTCAGACTCAGCCCTCTTCTGGTTTCGTTTTTTGACTCAGACTCTACCCTCTTTTGATCTCTGTCTTGACTCAGACTTGACTCTTTTCTGGTCTCAGTCTTAGATCAGACTCGACCCTCTTCTGGTCTCAGTCTCAACTCAGACTCGATGTCTTCTGGTCTTGGTCTTGACTCAGACTCTATCTCTTCTGGTTTCTCTCTTGACTCAAACTCGACCCTGTTCTGGTCTTGATCTTCACTGGGACTCAAATGAGCTGTTCTCAATTATATCACTGCAAATTACCTGCTGAAATTCCAAGCATCCCCTAATATTTGCATTTTTCTCTGTTGTTTTGCCTTTCTGTTGCTATCCATTAGTCTTGTAGGTCAGATCCATCAGTGACTGAGGCTCAGTGTTTGATAAACCTCCATCTCCATGGTGACTTGTTGAGCAATAGCAGTAAAACTTATCTCACTGTTTAGCAGAACCCACACCCATCTGTACCCTTCCACCCAGTCCCTGCCCACTGGCTGCCAACTCTCAGGAGCTACGCCAGCAACCGATATATTCCACCTCCAGACACATAAAAACACACAAATCTCTGGGCTCATTTGCTGTTTTTTGTAAAGTCATTGTGCAACTCTGTTCCTGCTGGATGTGAAGCGGCTGCCCTACAAAAATTGAATAGAGGCCTAACATGACATTACCAAAGTTGTTGGGAGATTTATAGGACACAGGGGACATTTATTGTGCCATTACAACAATCTGCCTGTCTCTTGCTTCTTTCAGATGTCCAGGGGTGTTACAAGCTTTGAATTTTTAATACACAGATTTTGTCCAGATGTGCATTGTAACACAGAACTTTCAAATTAAATTATTTCAGTTTTTAAATCTTATTTATATCCTTTTTGACACTTGTATTTATAGTGATAGGGGAAACACTGTGCAGGCTACATTCAGATTTATGTTGCCAGCATGAGCACCAAAAAAAAAAAAAAATCATAATTTCAAGCCACAGGTCCAACAACTTCACAGCTATTCGATGGCTGACAGAATATTATTTATACAGCTCTGAATGTACCTGTAGTGCCCGTCCAGTCCAGGTGTGAGGTGGCACGTGCCTCCATTAACACACGGCAGGCTGATGCAGGCGTTAATGGGGATCTCACAGTTACGACCCTGAGGAAAGAAAAAGCCTGTGAGCATGGATGAAGAAAGAGCGAGCTCAGGTTTTAACATGTCTGACCCTGCATACTGGGACAAAGGTCACAATCAGATGGACACTTTCAAAGGTGAAGAGGTTAAAGAAATAAAAAGCCATCATCTACGGTATTACATAATGAGTTCTGAGTAAAATGTCAACTTAAATGTTAACCACAATTTACCTTTCAAACAGGGTTAAGGAGTGGACATTAAAGCCAATGATTAGCGGTGCTTTCTATGGTTATTATTGTTGCTCATACTTATAATTAGGAATCCGTTTTAATCCCTTAACTTTTAATTACCATCCAGAACACCCTAGCAACCACATAGCAACCTAATAAAAACACTCAGAACATATTACCTGCATAGCCTATCCTGCAGCATTGTGGTGGCTAGTTTTGCACAGACAAGCACCACTCACATGTTCCTCAGCAAATGTAAAAATCTTGTTTGTTTACTAGTTCTATATCCAGGCCCAGAGCTGAGTTTAGTTTAATATCATGGTTTATGGAAGATGTATGTTGTGTCCTGATCCTTTTACACTCCGGGGCTGTAACTCCGTGACTAACACTCTCCATTTCAATTCCAGACAAAGGCTCTTGCCACTGATATGCCTGTTTCCTCTGCTCTCCTCAAAGGGCCCATATGCCTGTTTTCTTTCTCTCGGTCCCTCTGTTTTTTTCTCTTTCTCTCTTCCCATGTTTGACTTAATTCAGTACTCTAGAACATTCTAATTAATCTTCACTTATTTCGAGGACAGACGCGCACCTGCAACTGACCTTGAGAGCTGCGGTTTTAATTAAAAGACAGCTCACTGGTTCTGTCTTGTAGAGGGCGAAGGGTTGAGCTCTTATCTGTTCTTCAACAGAACAACACTGACAGGAATCCCATAACCAAACAAAAGAATAATGATTGCACGCTGCATCCAGAACACGCACACACATTCGTAAACCACTTTTTGTGTGAAACCGAGTCTGTTTGATATCAAACTTTGGTTCGTTTGGTTTTTTGAAGCAGTTTTTCAAGTGTTTTTCTTATGTGCATCAGCAATCTGCAACCCAGTCTGCTTGGAATGATGGTCTAAAGTTTGGTTCATGTTTATAATAGCAATCTGTTCAAACTCACGGAAGTGAACTGCTACTGATGCCGCATAATTTACATTTTTGTACATTACCGCCCGGTCACACTTATCATTTCTCATAGCTGCTTGTCTTTGAATAAATTGCTTTTGAAGAGCAGCTCACATTCTTCACATCCCTTGCAATACATTTGCCATCAGCCCAAGACCTCACCACCAAGGTCGCACCACTGAGTATGTATCCACTACACAAACAGCACCTGCCTGAGTACAATAGGAAATAATCAAGAAACTTCAGATCCAGCGAGTTCAGCTCGGTAAGATGGATGATGAGGCTCTCATGCATGTAATGATGCACATAACTCATAGGAGTATTCTGTACACGTGTGCACGCTGCCCGAGGATGTATGTGGGGCGGTGAATGATCACTCACCTTGTAGCCAAAAGGGCAGGTGCAGTGGTAGGAGCCTGTGACATCACTCACACATGTGCCGTTGTTCTGACAGGGACTCGCCCGACAGGGGGCGCACTTGGACATCAGATTCAAATCTGCTGGACCTGAAAGACACACAACACAACATGTGAAGCATAAATGTGTGGACAAGAAAGGGAACAGGAAATAAAAGGGAGTGGAGGTGACATTAAGGTCAACATGAAACAAACCTGACCATATTTCCTTGCAAAACTTTATCTGTGCATGTTATTACTAGAAAAAAATCGAAAAAGCAGAATTACCATTTATCAAAATATAATAACTTGTCTCTGCCTCTGAAACACTGTTATTTTTTGTATTATTTATGTTCTATTAAGTGTGTATTTATTATTTTGCATTAGCTTTTATTTTCAAGTTTTCACTTTAATTTAAGTTTGAATAATTTTGTTATGTGCTTTTGTCATTTTATTAGATTTTCTTAAATATTTCTATTTATTTCAGTTTTAGGTATTTAGTACTTTTTTCAGTTAGTTGCAAAGGCAGCATTTCTAATTTCCATTTTTAAAGTTTTTCATCTAATATTTATATTTTATTTATTTTAATTCAGCTTTATTTCAGTTACTGAAAACTTTTATTTTTTTATTTTTTTTTTATTTTTAGTTGTAGTTCACAACTATTTTTCAACCCTTATCCTTCAACCTGACTCCATTCTGGTATGTAATGTCCACTTTTAATGATCCAATAAATTCTGATCAAATCAAATCAATTCATACCCTACAGTTTTTTTCTCTCCTCAAATATCTTGTTTCATTCTGAAATATTGCCATTGCAAACTTAAACACTCAGAAAAAAGGTAGTAAACTGGGGTGGTACCCTTTGAAAAGGTACCAATACGTGCATTTTATGTACTAGTATGTACCATTTAGGGGTAAAGAAGGTACAAAGATGTACCTTTTAGCTTTGGTAAGATAGGCTACTGAGAGTTTTTTGAGAGTGAAGAGGCTCAGCATCACTGCTCTCACGCTTAGTTTTTGGATGTTGACAATATTATTCAGGGAGAGAAAGAGAGCGGAAATTGAATCAGGACATGGTGCAGACCAAATTTAAATGTTGTGTTTGCCATACAAGCACCATGGCTCAATGTGTTTGGAGCAGATGTGTTAACCAGCAGAAAAGAAGACAGACTCACCCTTGCACTGGAATTGACTGAGAGGGGTGGTAAGCAGCAGGCGGTCTGCCATGCCGGGTGGTCCAGTGCAGCGGGCGATGCCAGGCTCTTTAAACCCAGCCTTCACCCACTGAGACAACCAGCGCAGCTCGCAGTCACAGTACAGGGGGTTTGCACCCAGAGCCCTGGATCACACGACCGGGTGTTAAACTTTGTTTGAAAGGATAAATGCATTAGAATATCAGTATGATTCATTGGCCAAGTGGATTTTTCCTCGTGAATACAACTCTTCCTTACAAAGCCAACTTCTTCGGTTACTACAAACTTCCTTCAATTCAACAGGCCCTTTATTCCTCAATGGGGATTTTTCTCTGACAGTTCTTTTCAATGAGGAAACAAGGAGCTACAGTAGCCTCGCTCCAAACCGGCAAGAGGTACTACAGCCGGAGAGGAAAAAAAACACCACCACCATAAGCCTCCATAATAGATGCCTTTTAGCTGTAATAAAATTTACAAAGATTTCCTGTGGGGCTCGGTCTCCGAGCGCAAAGCACAAGGCTGCACTCTCTCTAGGTTGCACCCGGTAATGAGGTAAAACTTACATCGAGTCTAAAGACCTGAGTTGGTCTCTAAGACTGAGAATGGGAGTCCATCATTAATAGAGGCATGCTTTAACGCGCGCACACACACACACACACACACACACACACACACACACACACACACACACACACACACTTACAGATGAGACAGAGATGTCAAGTGGCTGAAGGCTCCCTCAGGAATAGTTGAAAGGTCATTTCCGTGGAGGGTTCTGAAAGAGAAGAATGAAAAGGAAATGAAAAAAAGGCATGGAGCTCTGGGAGTTGGTTTCATTGTTTTCCACACTATAAACGGAGAGAGAGAGAAAGAAAGGGTCATTCACGGCATTTAGAGCGGATTATAGAAAACCGCTGCCGTTTAGTGAGGCACCGGTGGGAACGGCAGATTTGCATTGAGATTTCATTGTATGCTGTGTCAGTCCTGTTTAATAATTTCTCCTGTTCTATTTTGGGCCGCTCGACCCACACATATACTCAGACCGCAACCTGAGAACATGATTGGACAGCTACAGGCCCTTGAGGCCACGTCAGCGCTGGCCCTGGGGCATTCTGGGAAATTAAAAAGTGACAATGATGACTGCCTGGCAGACTAAGCTTAAAGAGGCCGGAATAAGGTGGTCTGTTTACGGGATCTGTGCACACAGGGTGTTGATAACGTATCCAGCTTAATGCAGACAGATATCCAAGGGTGTCTCTTCAACTATAGTCACACATTTCAAACTTAATTTGTATTAAACAGACATTTCAAACAAACATTTTTATTAAACTGATCAAATCTGACAAAAGACATCTGTTTCGAATGCTGTTTTTTTCTCTGTTCTAAGAAACATAAAAAGTATCACGGTTTCCAAAAACAATTCCCAAACTTTTCAACGGTACTATAATTTTCGCATAATAAATATTGACATGATTCATGTTTATTTTGCACTTTGTTTTAGAGTATTATACTTTTAAATTATCATAGCAAAATTTATATTTTAATAGATTTTCGTACAATGAAAAAATAGGTGTAGAAATAATTACAAAGAAACAGCAAATGAATTAAACTAAATTTTGAAGCAGAAAAACTGATATAGCATTTTTTTTTGTAAACTGAAATCCAATAATCTTTGTTTTAATTTACAGCTTCAAAAAATATTTTTACAGTGTGGTTTTGAGTTTGAGTCTGTAAGCAGTCTGGTAAGCAACAAAAATAAATCATGAAGGCATGGTAAAATGTTTCCAAGACCATTTTAGTGTGACTTTCATATAACCAAAAGAAAACAATTTACCCACAGGACTTTAAGTGCTCTTAAAATCTATTGCTTTGTTCCTTCAGAACTTGCTTATGCTGTGAATGTGCTGTTCTAAAGCAGCTTTGTTCAGGCAGTAATCTCCTGAAGTTAAGTTCATAAGGCAGGTGTTGTGGTGCATGGGGAGTGTGTGTGTGTGTGTGTGTGTGTG